TCACCTGTCTAAATTCACCGTCAAGTATTTCCATACTTTTCGACTTTCCATCTTTCACCTTCAATGTTTCGTACCAAACCCTTGAAACAAGGATACCTCCCATTAAATTGTTCAATTCGTAAAAGCCACCAACCCACTTGATCTCAATAGTTAACCAGGATCCAACTATGAACAGCCAAACACTTGATCCAACCGTTCAGTTTGTTGGGATCCAAGTATTTGTGAGTAGTCCAATCTCGCAACCAAGCTCTGATACCACTTGTTAGGATCCAAACGCGGAACAAACAACTATTGAGATATCAAGTATACAACAATTTAATGACAAATAAGTCACGACCATGAAAAATAAACGACACATAATATTTAACGTAGTTCGACTCCACTATTGAGCCTTCGTCCACGGAGAGAAATCCGTTCTTTATTATAAAAAGAAAACCCTATACAAGAATACAACTTGAACCCAAACTTAACCCTTGTTTACCATTTTTCATCTCCCAAGAACCTTCTCTCACCACTCATGTATAAGGCTACATGTCACCTCTTGTATGCCCCTTGTGTGTCTCTTGTATAGTATGCCAACCCACCTATTTATAAGTAACATTATTTGGTCAAAAATTCAAATAACAATATGAAACTAATTCTAATTTCTAGACTCGTACAGAATAGAAAATAACTTCTAATCCTAAACAAAATAGGAAATTCCTTGGCTACTACTTCAAGTAACTAAAATCAATTAGAAAATTAGTTACTTTCACACAAAATAAGAAGCCTGTCTAAAAGAAATTAAGCCAATTTCCTAACATAATGTTTATATTATTATAAAACAACTAAAAGAGATGAATGTCCATCCAGTTCCATTAAAATATGAAACAACAAAAGAATTGATGTGGTTGCCCTTATAGTTCCCCTATATTTATGTACCATTAATATTGTTTTGCATATAAGTAGAGGTCATCCAACTTCCCTTGTAACTTTTTGAGCATTTGACTAAATAAAATTGTAATTCCCTCTATTTTTGTCTACTTTGCTCTACTCTACTCTCATCTACTTTGTGTTTTTTCATTAATATGAGTTTTACAATACGTTATGAGTACGACACTCTACCATTGGAGCAATCAAGTAGAAGTCCATATCTTCGATCAATTATTGGACATGCATTTATAATTTTGGGTGAACTTTTGAGATAACATTTTTCCTTTCAATTCATTTCACTTTTATTATGGCTAATTTTACCAAGTAGGAATTTATACCTCTTGACATTTTTAAAAAAATTACTTATCATAGATACTAGATGTTGAAATACATGTTGTTGCAATAGGTCTTGAAGACACCATAATCAAAATCATGCCAAAATTATGATTTTCCTTCGTCATCATTTAGATGAAGGACTGCAAAATGATTTTCCTTCATCATTATTTGGATGAAGGATTGAAAACTAAATATTTAACTGTGAAAGATTCACTTGTCCTATGAAATAGTTTGAAAAAAGAGATTTGACCACTCAAAGATGGTCGTACATACAAAAACCCAATATGATTGGCACACTACAAGAAATATATTTTTCAGTGACAAAAATTTATGTGACAACAAAAATCTTGTCACAGATAACCTAATTCAGTGACGACATTAGGTGTCATCACAGATGAGTACAGCACAAGCATAATCAGTGATAATATTGGAAGTTGTCATTCTCAACTCGTCACGAAATAGTTGGCGCGCATCTCATTTGATGCCGCGGGAAATGATTTTATGACAACTCAAGTAAAGTCGTCACAAATGCTCTCTCTACAGTGACAACATTACTTGTTGTCATTGAAAGTCTACCCGATTCCAATTTTGTGACAACTTTTTGCATCACTGTATACTACAGTATTTTCATCAACTTTCACTAATTCTACTATGACACCCTAATTTTATTTTTTAGCCCCCAATTCTTTTATATTAGCAAAAGCACCAAAGATATGACACCCTAATTTTATAATTTAGCCCCTATTCATTACGTATTAGCAAAATGCAAATGATATAATAACAAACTATTTTTAGATATTTGTAATTTTTGCTAAGCTGACATAATAGACATGTCTAAGCATAAAAATTTTTTCACGAATTTTTTATTATTCCTTATAACAACCCCCAAAAATCAATAACTGAAATAATTTGAAAAAGTGTAATTGAATATAATTTGTAGTCTAATGTTAGCACTGTGAAAGATTAGTATAACGTGTAATACATCATAAGTAATAATTATTTTCATATGGAATGGGTATATACGAAATTAAAATTATTCAGTAAAATATCTGTCGTGCAATAAGATTGAGAGTTGTAACACATTTAACAGAATATTTGATTACATGTTTCTTTTAATTTATTATAAAAACTAAGTAATAGACAAAGAGTAGGATAAGCATGAGTAAGAAGTGCTATACTGTATATAAGCAATTCTATAGTATTTTCATCAAATTTCACTCATTCTACTATGGCACCCTAATTTTATTATTTAGCCCCCAATTCTTTTATATGAGCAAAAGCACCGAAGATATGACACCCTAATTTTATAATTTAGCCCCTATTCATTACGTATTAGCAAAATGCAAATGATATAATAACAAACTATTTTTAGATATTTGTAATTTTTGCTAAGTTGACATAATAGACATGTCTGAGCATAAAAAATTTTTCACGAATTGTTTATTATTCCTTATAACAACCCCCAAAAATCAATAACTGAAATAATTTGAAAAAGTGTAATTGAATATAATTTGTAGTCTAATGTTGGCACTGTGAAAGATTAGTATAACGTGTAATACATCATAAGTAATAATTATTTTCATATGGAATGGGTATATACGAAATTAAAATTATTCAGTAAAATATCTGTTGTGCAATAAGATTGAGAGTTGCCATACAATTAACAGAATATTTGATTACATGTTTCTTTTAATTTATTATAAAAACTAAGTAATAGACAAAGAGTAGTATAAGCATGAGTAAGAAGTGCTATACTGTATATAAGCGATTCTATGCATGTTAAATTTTTTAAACATGTTTTATTGTGTAAGTTTTATTGTAAGGTAATTTCTTAAATAATTTGTATATTGAGTTGTCCAAACCCAAAAAGATGTATATAGACACAAACAAGCACACATATATATACATGCACAAAAAAGAAACCAATATCAAATAATTTATTTGATATTTATAGATGAGATTAAGGAAAAAAAAAGAGATTAAGTATGAAAAAAGAAACCTGAAAAAAAAATTTGGCTAAAAAAAAAAGAAAAAAGATGTATGAAGCTAAAGGCGTGAATCCTGGAATCTCAAAGACGTGCTTAGATGCCAAAAAAAAAAGAGCGCCAGTCTGAAATCTGAAAGAGGCGCGAGGCAGGTGGCTGAAATCTCTACAAAACGACGTCGTTTTGGTTGTTCACACACAAACAAAAGTCTCGCCGCTTCTCTCTTCCAACACTTAGACAAATTTCATTCTCAGTCTTTCCTTCCTATGGTGAACTAACCCTTCCTTCCCGTAGATTTGAAATGCCGCTCGCCACCGTTAGCTGCTGAAGTCCGCCGCAATCCACCACCATCAGCCGCTGAAGTTCGCCGCTACCCAGCAACTTGAGCTTTATTCTTCAGCCTTTCCTTCACCACTGACGATGACCCTTTCTCCCCTCCATTGACCCGCAACCGCGTCGAAATGCCGCTCACCACCGTTAACCGCTGAAGTCCGCCACTATCCACCACCATCAGCCGCTGAAGTCCGAGCTATCCAGCACCATAATTTATTCTTCAGCATTTCCTTCACCACTGACGATAGCCCTTTCTCCCCTCTATTGACCCGCAACCGCGTCGAGCTCTTTAGCACCAGCTCAGGTGAAGGAAAATAGAGGAGGGCTTTGGCAGTAGAACAAAACAGAGGGAAAAGAACAAAACAAGAAAAAAAGAACAAAATAGAGGAGAAAAAAAGGGCGGCGCACAAGTGAGCAAGAAAAGCTGAGGGGGAAGCCTGAGAAAGGGCGGCTAGGTTTTAGAGGAGAAAAAGAGAAACAGAAGAGCAGAGAAGCGGCTAGGGTTCTTGGAAGGGAGGCCTTGAGCGTGAAAAGAAAAAAAACAGAGTGAAGGAAGAGTGGTGGCTGACGGGAAGATCAGGAGAGAAAGACGCGGCAACGGACAGAGGAGGAAGAACCAGGTCACCACCAGTCCGCGTCCGCTCTGCTGCTGTCTGCCATCGCCAACACCGCGCACAACCTCCTGGGCTACTGCCGTTCTCTGTAACTCTAGATGAAGGCTCTCGGACGAAGTCAGACCTAGTCATCTTCCAATTCCAACTCACCGTCTTCGGCTTCGTCATAATCGCCTTCGCCACCGCTCAAGTAAGAGCACTATAAGTCGCCCCTTTTTCTTTGAATTTCAGTTCCTTCCCAAGTCCTCTAAGCGTGTCTGCCATGGCTTCGTTTATTGCAATTGCCCCGTTGATTGTTCAAATTTTAGCATGCGCATGTTATATCATGATTGAATTTGAAATCCCTTGTACTTCTAATGATTTTGGGGCCAACCGTGGCTTAATTTGAGCAAAGAATTGCTGGAATTTTTCATGTTCGTTTACTATTTGTTGAAATGCCCAAGTGGTCTAACAGCAGGCCGTAACAGGGCATTCGTTCAATGCTTATTGCTGCATTTTATCTTTCCCTATCCATGTCTCAAGTTTACGCATTTGAGTCTGGTTGATAAACTTGTAAATCTGATTAGCATATCAGGACTGCCTCTGAGTTTCGTGATGTTTTTACTACTTGGTTTTGTCTCATTGCCTGGTTTGATATTCAATCTGATAGGGAATCCGCAATTGAAAATGAAAATTGCAGCTAGTGTTGTCGAAACCTTCAGTTTGCCGAAATCTTCTTCTATTTCTTTTGCATGAAAGTCTCATAAAAAACTTGTATTCTCTTTAGTTTGATATTACAAAAGTATTTTGTACTAAAGGCTGATGTGTCTATATCTAGGACATGGATAAAACTTGGATGAAGATTAGCAATAGGAAGGACAAGGCTTATGAACTCGGAGTCAAAAATTTCCTCAAGTTTGCATATTCTCAAAAAGTTGAAAATCAGAAAATCCCATGCCCATGTACACAATGCAATAATTTTTGTAACCAAACTAAAACAGTTGTGGAGGATCATTTATTGACTCAAGGCATTCGTAAAAGCTACACAAGATGGATACACCATGGGGAACAATTTCAACACCAAAATTGTGGGGATAGTACTAAACATGGGGATGGAGAGGACGATAGTGATACTGAAGATTTAAATGACATGCTGCACGACATTGGGACAGCACAATGGGGGGACAATTGGGCTGGTAGGGAAGAATCAACGGATGATAGTCTAAATGCGAATCATAGTGACACAGATAACTTTCTTAAATTGTTAGAAGATGCAAAAAAGGAGCCATATCCAGGGAATCATTTTTACTCAAAGCTATCCTTTGTAGTCACTTTGCTCCATTTGAAAACAATGAGCGGGTGGACTATAAAGTCCTTCAATGCATTGCTGGAAATTTTTAGGCATGCACTACCTCCTGAAGCCACAGTTCCCAAGTCTTTTACTGATGCTAAGAAGCTCATTCGAGACTTAGGTTTTAAATCTGAAAAAATCCATGCTTGTGTCAATGATTGTGTTCTCTTCCGCAAGGAAAATGAAAATTTTGACACTTGTCCAAATCTAAATTGTAAAGAACCTCGCTACAAGATGGCAGGTTCAAGAGTTCCACGCAAAGTTTTGCATTACTTTCCTTTGAAGCCTAGGCTGCAACGATTATATACCCACAAAGAAATAGCTTCAGATATGAGATGGCATAAAGAAAAGTGTGTGCATGATGATAACATCATGCGGCATCCAGCAGACAGTGAAGCATGGAAACACTTTGATAGGTTGCATCCGGACTTCGCCGTTGATCCTAGAAATGTGAGGTTAGGTCTTGCAACTGATGGTTTCAATCCTTTTGGGACCATGAGTAGTGCTTATAGCATCTGGCCTATTTATCTAGTGCCATACAATCTGCCCCCTTGGAAGTGTATGAGAGATCCTTTCTTTTTCCTATCAATGCTAATTCCTGGGCCTAAATCCCCGGGAAATGAGATTGATGTTTACATGGAGCCTCTAATAGATGAACTGAATGAAATGTGGCTTGGTGTTGAAACATATGATGCATATAGTGGCAAGAAATTTGACCTCCTCCAGCTTATGCAATGCTGTCCGGATGGAGTACGAAAGGGTATCAAGCATGTCCTATTTGCATGGTTGAGACAACTTGCGTACATTTACCACACCGAAAAAAGTTGTGTTACACAGGTCATCGCCGCTTCTTACCCATTGACCATTCTTGGCGGCGAGAAAAAAAACCTTTCGATGGCAATGTGGACTTTAGGAATCCTGTTGCACCTTTATCTGGAAATGAAATTTTAGATCAGGTACAAAATATGGAGGTAAATTTTGGGAAGACCAAGGCGCAATCCAATGCAAAGAAACGCAAGCGTTCTAAGAGTGGTTTGAACTAGACAAAGAAAAGTTGTTTCTTTGAGTTACCATATTGGGCAGACCTCCTTCTTAGGCATAATTTGGATTTAATGCATGTGTCAAAAAATGTCTCAGAGGCTGTCATTGCCACAATTATGGATATTGAAAACAAAACCAAAGACCACTGGTTGTGTCGTCAAGATTTGAAGGATTTGGGTTTGAAAAAAGAGCTACATTTGATTCCAAATGGCGACTCTTATATCATGCCACATGCCTATTACAGCCTAACCAAGGAGGAGAAAAAAAAAGTATGTGAGTTCTTGAATTCTGTCAAATATCCAGATGGGTTTGCCTCAAACATTTGCCGATGTATAAAGAATGGGCAGTTTCAAATTTTTGGAATGAAAAGTCATGACTTCCACATTTTTATACAAAGGCTACTCCCACTTACAATCCGTGGAAGTTTAACAAAAGAAGTTCGGCTAGTGCTATTCGAGTTAAGTGAATTCTTCAAAAAATTATGTGCTAGAACATTACATAGAGAGGTTCTGGAGGAGTTAGGCCAAAAAATTGCAGTCATCTTATGTAAATTAGAGAGGTTGTTCCCTCCAGCTTTCTTCGATATAATGATGCACTTGATGGTTCACTTGCCTGCTAAAGCTATCCTTGGCGGTCCAGCTCAATATCGTTGGATGTTCCCATTTGAGAGGTAGAGAGTTGTACATATAGCCTTGTAAGTTTTTTTTTTAATTAAAGACCACTGCAATCTTCTAATTTCTTTTATTTTCCTTTGAGAAAGACATATGACAGTGCTGAAAAGTTATGTTGGGAATAAGGCCTGGCCAGAGGGATGCATTGCTGAGCGGTACATAGATAAAGAATGCTTGACATTCTGCTCTATGTACCTAGACAATATTGATACGATATTCAACAAGCCAGAACGAAACAATGATAGGGGATATAATACTGGTGAATTGTCCATTTTTTCATGCCCTGGTCGTCCATTTGGAGGGCCCAAAAGGGGCAATTTCCTTGACTCAGAGCTGGAAAAAATTCATACATTTATATTGAACAATTGTGATGAGCTTGAGGACTATATAAAGTAAGCTTTTAATGTTAATTAAAGGTTGTACCTTTGTTCTATATTTTGATATGTTCAAAGGCAAATTTATACAAGGTGATTGTTTTTGTCTATAGTGCGCATAAAATGGAGTTGGAGGCAGAGAGTGCTGAAAATGTGGACCAAAGGCACGATAGAGAATTTGCAAAATGGGTTAAACAGCGTGTATGTTTGTAGTGTCATTTGGACAACCTACTTTTTTTTATCTCTAATACAATAAATTACTGATTTAGGTGAAATTGTCCTTACTAGGTTATGTATGGCAGTGAGGCTTCCAATGGTGAGCTTCGAGCATTAGCATTTGGGCTAGACAATCGAGTTTGCATGTATACGGGCTGCATGGTTAATGGGTATAGGTTTCACACGAAAAATTGGGAAAGGCAAAGAAAGACTCAAAACAGTGGTATTGTAGTTAGAGGTGAGCATGGTAACAATATGATCGATTTTTATGGTGTGATACAACAAATTATTGAAGTAAGATACTGGCTCGGGAAAAAAAAGGTTATAGTATTCAAGTGTGACTGGTGGAAGACCGATGATAGTGTTGGGATGCAAGTGGACAAAGAATGGGGTATCACAAGTGTCAATTCGTCCAGAAAATGGTATGAAGACCAACCATATGTCCTCCCTCAACATGTCCAACAAGTCTTTTATCTTGAAGACTTGAAACTAGGCAAAAACTGGTTTGTCGTCGAGAGATTCAGTCCAAGGCACTTGTATGATGTTCCTGAAGATTTAGAAAAAGAACCAATGGTTGAGGAAATATATCAAGAAGAAGCAACTGGGGATTTCACTATTATAATAGACCTTGACAATCCACCATTACTTTCAAGAGAAGACAATGAGATACCGAAGGCTGTACCTTCATCCATTGTACATGCTGAGAAGTCAAAAAATAGCTCAAATGGCACCTTTGAAGACTTCATTAATGATGATGATGAAGTGAATGAACATGAGTCTAACAATGAGGAAGACGAAGAGGAGATTCTTAGTGATAATGACATCGATTCGGAATAGGTGAAATTGATGAGGACTACATGACACTAAATTTAATCTCTTTAACTCCGGCTAACTAGTTTTTATTCCTAAATTATACTATGCTGTAACACTAACTTCTTCTTACTTTTAGATGGCTGGACCAGGAAAGCGAGGCCAAATGCTGCAGAGAAAAGCTCAAGGTGCACAACAGCCTGCAATACCTAATTCAGTTGGAAGCAATCAACCAAGAAGTGCATCCAAGAGTGTATCCTCAGAGGATGCAATATATGTCACTCCAACTTCTTCACCTAGAGAAATTGCTAGTGAGAGTAGGATGATACACCCTCAGACATCTGAGTCTCGTGCATCCGGAGAAAATGAGACAAATCCAGTTTCGGAAGAGCAAGAAAATGGTAAGTTAGACTTCATTTTCACGGCTGAAATTAAAAACCAAGTTTCTATTTCATGACTGACTTTGTTAATGTGGTCAAAGTAATGTATGGACTGATATTTCTTAATAGCTATGCTGCTGGCAGCAAGAAGAAGAGGACGTACACGAAATCTATCATTATCAAAAAAAAGGGAGGCTAATGAGACGCTCACCATTGAAATTGATGATTGTATTCGGCGGATTGTTGGGAAGGATTCTCAATACTTCATCACAGAAGGGGGTTGTGTTGTTAGGAAGGCTGCTAGGCTTAATGTTCCAAAGTGGTCCCATCTCAATCCCGGTGACCGAGAAGGCATATACAGCACGGTTACGGTATTTGTTGACCTGCTAATACTCTAATTTCATCCAGAAAGTATGAGAGATTTTACTGCTTTAGATTTGCTTGGTTTTAAGTAGATTGCACTGTTATTGTAGGATGACTTTCGATTTCCAGAGCACATCACCTCAAAAACTGCTATTAATAGGCAGTTAAACACACAATATCGAAACCATCGATATTGGCTTCACAGGTATTTCCAGAGTTTTGAATCAAGGCAAGAAGCATTGAGGCAAGTTCCTGAAGGTGTGAGTGAAGAAGATTGGAAGTGGCTGGTCAGCTACTTTGAAAATGATGAATTTAAGGTTAGCTTATCAAAATAACCTATCCTTTTATTAAATTTCAGATTTCACTTCACAAATTTGCTAATATTTGTCAGTTAAAATTTTCACTAATTTGTGGCAGAAAATTAGTGAACGTAACAAGCAAAATCGTGCCAAAAATGACTGCCATACTACTGTTGGCACAAAATCGCTTGCAAGAGTTGTTGAGGAAAAGGTAATCTGAAACCCAGCCAACAGTTGTACATGTACATCCTTTTTGTCATATGACTGAAAATGAAAAAATTGAAAATTTGGACAGAAAAGGAAAGAAGATGTCGAGCTTTCAGAGATAGACATGTTTGAGTTAAGTCAAAAGTCAAAGAAGTCAAGGGGGCTAGTAAATGACAAAGCAAAAGAGACCTTGGTGAGCTGTTTCACTTGGATAATGGATTTTTAAATTATTGACATCCATTCCAGCTACATAATGATCATATTTTTTACTTGCCTAGGACAAAATGAGGGAATTGCATGCTACAACTTCAATGACTAGCAAGGAAATATGCGAGCAAGAACTTGGTTACATACCTGGACACATCCGCGGTCGTAGTGCAACCAAGAAGCAAGCTGCTGAGGTAGAACGCTGGAAGCATGAGATTGAGGACAGCCGAAAAAGAGCAGATGAAGCAGAAAAACGAGCTGCAGAAGTAACTCAACAATTCACTGCTCAGCAAGAGTTGATTAAGACCTTGCAACAGCAACAAACAGAAACAAGAAGCCTGTATGATAAGTTAGCTAACCAGCTGAAAGACTTGCGCAAATAGCAACTTCTGTGTCAGGTATAAATAAATTGTTTGCTCTTCATATCCTTCACAATTGAGGCACTTGAATTCTGGTTCTATAAAATAGAGATTCATTTTTAATACAATTGGGTTGCTTGATGTCAATTTAGTTGCTTGATGGCACTTGAAATCTGGTTCCACCAAATCTGATTCCTGTTTAATGCAATTGAGTTGCTTGAGGCTGATTTAGGTGCTTGAAATCTTGTTCATGTTTAATTACAGCCATTGAGGTGCTGGATGTTGCAACCAAAACTTTAGTGTTTTTAAAGCAAAGGTGTTTGAACGTTGGGATGTATTCCACTTTTTTCTTTGTCGAACTCATCTAAATTTTTCTGTATCAGAATTTTTTTTTTGTGCTAAGGAAAAAGGGGCACCTTTGATTGTGTGTGTGTGTGTGTTTTTTTTTCTTGATATACTGTGTGGTTCACGATCATCTAGGCTCTCAATGATTTTAGGATTTTATTGTTGTTATTGTTATTGTTATTGCATATATATTTGTGAACATGCAGATATTTATTGTGTTTGTATTGTTATTCTATATTTCACAGAATCTACATTCAATGTCTTATTTGCTATAATTTCACTTTATTTTTGTGTTAAGCAATTTACTTAGATTGCTATAATTTCAAATTAGAGTGACATTAGTTTTTATAATATGGTGCCTATCTAGAAGTGTAGTTCCAGTTTTAACACCAGTGCTCATTGCTTCAATTTTGGTAACGTGTAGGTTCTAACACGATTCCCAAGAAGAAGAAGCCAGTCATTGCTGTGAAGATGGTTTTTGATTTGAAGACTACAAGGCCTATCGTGCTCATGTTTTGTTCTAGATGGGAATCGTGCTCATATTTTTGTATAGAACTTTACTACTCTCTATTGTTGATGGGAAATCACTAGTATTGTAACTGAATGGCTTATTTTGGATGGTGCATGGTTTATGACTCATTTGAGGCAACATTTATATATATATATGTATTTGGGTTGATCTTCTATTGGAAATGAATGTTGGCTTTCTTTTCGTATGTTGGCTTTTTTTTTCTCCTTGCTACTCAATGAACGTTTTGTGATTGTTGGCAGCTATGTTGCGTAATTAACATTAGATTATTGCTTTTTACAAAAAAAATAAATGACAATAAAAAAAGTTATCATTGCCAACAAGTTTCACTAGTGACACCAGAAAGTCGTCACTTTTTATGGATGGAAAACAATGACAACAAAAGTCGTCACTGAACGGAAGCATAATGTGACAACTCCAAGGGTTGACTATGACAAGAATTTAGCTAGTTTAGTGACAATAAAAGTCGTCATACAATGTACAATAATGAGTGACGACAAGAGTCATCACAAAAGCGAAATCGTTTGTGACGACTTTCAACAGTCGTCACATGGACCCCCTTTTGTGACATAGAACTAGTGACAGCTCTGTGACAGCAGTAAAAGTCGTCACTGACTTTTTTTGTGATGACTTCTGAATTTTTAGTGACGACTTTCGCCTGTCACAGAAACGCAATTTTCTTGTAGTGGCATTACCTACGGCTACAAAATTTTAAATCTGTTAATGAATATAACTCAACCACATCCAGAATTACTTCTCAATTAAGGTTGTATGGTAAAAATATAACTGATAAGAATATGTTAGAAAAAATTTCCTCTATTTTTTTATGTTTCGAATATGCTCCTACAGTAACGACATCAAGAAAAGAGATTTAAAAATATTATGAATTCATTGCATGTCTTGTCTTGGTTGAACAAACTAATGAATTATTGTCGAAAAATCATGAGTCCCGACCAACTGGTGCTAACCCGTTTCATGAGGTGAATACGACTCAATCTCAAAATTCTGGTCATGATTGAGAATGTGACCATGGTCATAGTTGCAATCGTGATAGATATGTTCCTTATAATCATAATAATCATAACCATGGCAAGAAACAAAATAACTTTTAAAAGTAGGAAAATAATGATAAGAAAGTTGAAGAAAGAAAAATTATGAGGAAAAATATTTTCGATGTGTATGAAAAGTTATTGGTTCCGTACCTATCATACGACAGAATATCTGGTTGAATTTTATGAAGCATCATTGAAAAGAAAGACAAAAGCATCAAAATAAATTTTATTGATCAAAAGAATGTTTATGGTGATAATGGTGCCGATATAGCACACCTTGAGGTAGTTGATTTCTTTGAACGTCCTAAGATGCAAAATGATTAGATGCCAAATGTCCAATATTTATTTACAACTTTGCTTTTATGTTATTTTCGCATCTTTTATGTAATTTATTTTATAAATTATGTAATTTATGGACCTTAAACCTTATGAATATTTAATTTAATTTGTTATTTTGTCTTGAAAAAAATGGATATCAAATACTTGAGATTAAATAATGGTGATGGTGATATTTGTCTCATTGATAGTCGTACTATGCACACTATATTTAAAAATAAAGGTTACTTTTCCTATTTGAAAATGAGAGAACCAAATGTTAATAGAATAAATGGTAATGTTAAATTGATCGAAGGTTCTAGAAAAGCCATTGTTTTTGTTCCTAAAATAATTAAATTTGTGATAATAATGCACTACTCTATAATACTAAGTCTCGAAGACATTTGTTGAATTTTAAAGATATTTACCGAAATGGATATCATATCAAGATGACGAATGGTATTACAAATACCATTTTTGGACAGAAATGTGTATTGAAAAAGTTACTTTCTCTTCCATCCAATTTATATCATATAAAAATAGGTGCAGCTAAAATTCATCATGTAGTAGACCAAAAAGTCTACTAATCCCAATGAATTTGTGGTCTGGCAAGATTGCCTTAGACATCCTGGTTCTATAATGATATGCTGAATAATTAAAAACTCACGTGGCCATTCATTAAAAAATCAAAAGATGTTAAACTCTAATGAATTTTCATATGTTGCTTGCTCCAAAAGAAATTAATTATTAGACCTTCACTAGTTAAGGTGTGGACTGAATCTCCTACATTTTTTAGAATGAATTCATGGTGATATATATGGCTTATAGATCCACCAAGTAGACCATTGAAATATTTTATGGTATTAATCGATATATCATTAAGAAGGTCATATGTATGGTTACGATCTACCCACAACTTGGTGTTTGCTAGATTGCTTGTTCAGATAATTAAGTCACAAACACAATTTTTGAATTATCCAATTAAGAAAAATTATCTAGATAATGCTGGTGAATATTCATCAAATTCCTACACAAAATTATTACATGTCCATTGAAATAAATATTAAACATCATATAACTTATGTTTATAGACAAAATGGTTTGGCCGAATCATTAACTAAACAACTATAATTAGTTACTAGAATATTACTAATGAGGTCTAAATTTTCTTTATCTACTCAGGGACATGCTTTATTACATGCAATAATATTTGTGAGAATTAAGACAAGAAGTTATCATACTTATTGCCCCTACAATTAGCATTTAGTTATAAACCCAATATTTCTCATTCAAGAATTTTTGGTTGTGCAGTTTATGTTACCATTGCACCATGCCAACGAACTGAACTCCTAAAGAAGTTTGGGGATATATATTGGGTATGAATCATCTTCTATAATTAAATATCTTAAATCATTAATGGATGATTTATTTATGGTAAGATTTGTAAATTATCATTTTAATTAATCAAATCTTCCGACATTAGGGAAGGGAAAGATTGACCACAAAGGAAATTATTTGAAAAATATCATTGAATTTCCTTGATCCCATACAAAACAATGTAAACTGAAAGTTCAAAGGACTAGATATTTGTAAAAAATTGTAAATCAATTACCGGGTGCATTTAGTGACTTCAAAAGAGTTATTAAGTCATATATTCTTGTAAAAAATGCTCCGATTAAAATTGATATCGAAGAATGACAAATTACAAGTACTAATGAGTTTAAGCACATCTGAAGTATGGTAAACCCTTAAGTTCCAAAAATAAAAATCTTTGCAAGAAAAGATAATTGAATAATGATAATAAAATTAAGGAGTCAAAAATCAGTCAAAATACTAATAGTGACAACATTCAACCTCTTGAAGAGGTCGCATACTCCTAAAAATGATAAAATTATGAAAAGTTTAATTAATTTTGTTAATATGGGAAAAAAGTTAAATCCAAAAAGAGATAATTGTTGATAATATTTTTGCATATAATATAGCACTTGATATTATGGAAAAAGACGATAATCATGAATCTACATCAATTGATGGATGTCAGCGTAGAAGTAATTGAAAAAAATGGAAGACGCGATTCAATCTGAATTGGATTCACTGGTTAAAAGAAAAATTTTTGGACCTATAGTCCAAACACTTGAAGGTGTAAAACTAGTGGGATATAAATGGGTGTTTGTGAGAAAAATGAGAAACATAAAATTGTGAAATATAAAGCAAGATTTGTAATCCAAAAATTTTCACAAAAATCAGGACTTGATTATGATGAGACATATTCACCAATAATGGATAGAATTACATTTAGATATCTTGTAAGCTTAGAAATGTACGAAAAACTTGAAATGTGTCTAATGGACAGTCACTGGTTATTTGTATAGAATATTAGATAATGATATCTACATGAAAACTCTTGAAGGATTTAGCATGCTTGAAGCATGTAAATCAAATTTTAGAAAAATTTATTCCATCAAATTGCAAAACTCTTTGTATGGGTTCAAACCATCTGTACGTATGTGGTTTAATCACTTTAGTGAATGTTTGATTAGGGAAGCCTACATCAATGAACCAAAATGTCTATTTGTTTTTATAAAGAAAAATGTGTCAAATTTATAACTATTGTAGTATACATTGATAATCTTAATTTGATTGGAACTCCTAAAGAGTTCCAAAAGATGGTTGGATATTTGAAGAAAGAGTTTAAAATCAAAGATTTTGGAAAGATGATTTTGCCTTAAAATGGGATTTTCATTCACTAAATTGTTTATACCCTGAAGGTATTAAAACAATTT